CTCGAGGGACACCCGGGTAGTCCCCAATAGCCAAATGGACTTGACATTTGTTCAAGTCCCTCAATGTTCCAGATTTTTAAAAATTAAAGAGATATGACAAGAAGAGTTAACATGAGATCCTGCAATGGATCCTGGACCAAAAAAAGGACATTGGAGGAGCAAATGGAAGCATGTGAGTAAGTTCTATAGGTCATCTAGAGTGTTGTGTCAGTGTCGGTTTCCTGATTTTGATCTCTGTGATGTGGTTATGAAAGATGGCAACATTTGGGGAGTCTGGATGAAGGGTGAACAGCAATTCTTTGTACTATTTCTGTAACGAAGTCTCAAATTATTTCCTGGCAACATTTGGGGAGTCTGGATGAAGGGTGAACAGCAATTCTTTGTACTATTTCTGTAACAAAGTCTCAAATTATTTCCAAATGAAAAATTAAAATTAAAGAAAAGTTCGGGTTTCTCTGGGAGATTCTGTGGGCAGGGAGAGGTCATTGCCTTCATTGAGGGGATGAAAAAACTGAGACACAGAGAGGTCAGGGGCCAGGGTGACAACTGCCTGTGTCTCTGGCTCCTCATTCAGATGGCTGAGGGGGGAGGGGTGTTGGGAACAAACTGCCACACCAAGAACAAGGGGGCCTTTGGCTGGTTCTGTGGTGGGCAGAGCCATGGATGCCCAGGCAAGAGGCCGGGCATTGTGAGGAGACAGCTGTGCTGGGAGCCAAGCCTGTTGGGGATGCAGTCCTGGGTTCAAAGGGGACATTGTTTACCTCTATACGAGGCCTGGGCACTGCTGGGCTGGGTCTGATCCTCCCAGTGGCCCACAAGTCACAGGTGCCAGGGCTTGGGCCCTGGAGCAGCCTCAGGCTTGTCCAGAGATCAGGCCAAGGCCCACTGAATCCTGTGGGAGTCCCTAGGCCACAGGACCACTCACCCAGACAACACCGCTGCTGCTCAAGGTTTGCGGCCGTGGTGCCTCATCCGTGTTAGTGGTGTTGGCACTGACCGTAGACAGTGGGGCTTTGGCCGTCTCTTCCAAGTCCAGCAGGTTCCCAGTGGCGACCACTGTGAGGGGATCTGGTCAGTATGTTAATGGGAAAAGAGTCTCTTTTTCCCCCAGCCCCATCTCCTGACCCCCTCCTGGAGCCTCCTTGGCTGTCCTAGTCCCAGCTACCTTCTCAGATGCTGCCTTAGCCAGGCCCATCACCCGGATCACCCAGAGCCCCACCCTGCACCTCCCTCCCAGCAGCTGGACCGCTGCCCACATGGGGAAAACCCATTCCCCACCAATGGATTAGACTGAAACTTTTATATTCACAATAGCTAAGTTTTTTAAGAGATCACAAAACACGATGTAAAGTGTATAGAGATGTATACATATATTTATATGTTTGCACAGAAACATATCTAGAAGAACAAGCACCAAGTAATTTTTTTCCCTTTATCCACATTTTCTAATTTATCTATAATGAACATATATTATTTAACAACAAGAAAAATTAAAAAAAAAAAAAAGAGAGAGAGAATTTGCTACAGCCCAGGAGGGAGTGGGCCCCTGGAGAAGGACAGACCCAATGCCAGGCAGGCAAACCTGGCCCCTCCCCTGCCCCAGACTCACGGCTCTTCAGGGAGGGGGTGCTGTCGCAGCATGATCCCAGGATGTCTCCTCCCTCTTGGCTGGCTTTCTCCCTCTTCTCTTTCTCTGTGAAAAAGTCAGAACCTCAGACCTCAGCACTCTGTCCCCAGCAAGCCCTGGGCAGGGGTAGGCTGTGGCCAGTCTCAGGGAGCAGTTTTAGGTCTCCCTAAAACTCCAGCTGGGTAGAAAGAAATCTTGCAGATATTGTTTAATCCTCACAAGCACCCTGGGGCAGGGAGATGGCTGTTGTCATTTTTTCAGATGGGGAAACTGAGGCTCAGAGAGATGAAGAAACCTCTTCAAATTACAAGCCAGGTAGTGGGTGAGGCTGGCAGTCAGTCCAGGTGTGACTCCAGGGCCTTTATGTCTCCCCATCCCCACCCCCCTACAATGCTGATGAGTAAGACTCACCTTCCTTGGACACCTGCCAAAACTCAAAGGCGACTTTGAAGGCCTGGGCTACGGTGAGGGTGACAGCTTGTGCCTGCAAAACAGGAAGTGGGTTCGGGGAGGGGTACAGTGTCAGCCAGGGAAGAGCATGTCTGATCTGCAGGGCTGGGGCCCTGGCTCCCTCCCTGCAGCTTCTCTGGGCTTCATCCCAGGCTCTGGGATGCCTGAGGGTGGGGAGCAGGTAACCAAAGCTTATAGAAGCTTGTGGAAGTCCCAAAGCTTATAGCTATAGCCAAAAACATCTGGCTTCCTTCTGAAAACCCTGTCTGAGAAAAGAAAGCACCAGCATCTTTCAAGTAAGTTTAGCCTCAGCCCCACTCTCTCCCCTCTGCCAGACAACTCAATTTAATTGAGAAATGAATCTGTGGCCACTGACTTTAAAACTCTTTTTAAAAAATTTTTTTAAATCTCTAAACAAGCTGACTGATCTGTGCCAATTAAACTTCACGAAGAATAAAATCTCATTTGAATGTCTCCGTCATTTACATTTTTGATGGAAGTACAGGCGCTTTATGGCAAAACTTAAATATGGTAATTAAGTATGAAACTCTTCACAGCTGTTTACAATTTAAGCTGTCACGTCTGAATCAAGTTTAATAGATCCAGTTACCACTGAGAATTGCCCATGAACTAAAAATATGGGCTAATTACCAGCCAAGTCAGATCACTATGCACCCAAGCAAGGGCTGGTCACCCAATGCGGCAGGGACATGGAAACACCATTATTTTTGCCTGCAGAAAATCTGGGGACACATGCTTATTCTGTTTTTGTATAAATCTGCTTGTTCATTTGCATACATTCCCACCCTTTTGCCCTGAAGTCCTAAGCTGTAAGTTAAACCAAATATAACTCAAGATTTGGACATGTACAGGTGGCTGCAAGACTAGGCTGGGCAGGGACCAAAGGGGGTGGGCCCTGCTTCCTGGGGTGGCTGCAGGAATCTGGGCACCAGCATTAGATGGAGGGACCGCTTGGGCCTGCCTGCCAGCAGCCTTCCTCCCTGCATTCCTCAGACTAGTGCCTATCCCCCTCTGAGAGCCTCTGACCTGTTGGCCGGTCCTATTACCCTGACTGGGTTCTACCTCGCCCACTCTGTCGTGTTCCTGCCTTGTTCCCAGTAACTGAGCTGGTAACCACTCAAAGGGGGCCAGGTACTCAGACGAAGTCAGGCCATGTGCCTTCTAGCAGCCTTGCTGCCCCAGGAGTATAAATCATTTCATAGAAGTGCCCACGAATGCCAACAGCCACAGCGGGGAGAACAGCCCTGTCCCATACTGCTGGGTAGAACTGGGGGTGTCACTTTGCTTACTACCAGTTGAGGCTGAGCACCTGCTCCACAACCCTGAGGTTGTCCACCTTCACTTGACAGCCCAGAGGCCAAAGTGCTTGCTGACACCTCCTGGTGGGGCAGATGGAAACAGTTCTTTATAGTACAGTAGCAAGGAAGGGAGGCCTCAGTGGTTATGCTGCCCCAGAGCTGAACTGGTGGGTGACCCAGAAAGGAACCCCTTCTCCAAGCTTCTTGCTCATTCAGGCAATCCAGCAAGGAAAAGTGGGAGTATGGAGACCCTGAGCAATGGCCCCATCAGCATCCCAGCCCAAGGCCCCAGGCTGGCTCCAACAGGCCACCCACCCCATGTGCTTGTAATACCTGAGTCACCTGAGTCCTCGACAGCCAGGGCAGCACTTTGTTCTGCACCTGTGTGCTTCTGCATGGGTTAATTCCCGTGCTGGCATGTGCTCGCCTCTCACCAGCCCTCCCCCCCTTTCTCTCAACCTGGCAAACTCCTACTCACTACTCATCCTTCAGAGCCCAATTCAAAATGTCTCTGTCTCTGGGAAGTATTACTGACCTCCAGTGAGATTTCACAACCTCCACCCTAGGACCAAGCCCCCTGTATTTGTTACTATAGCCAGGCTCTTCCATGGCCAATGTCTTTGGTCCCCAGTGCCCAGCACAGGACTTGGGAGTCCCCAATGCACCAAACATCTGTGCAGGAAGCTGCCAGCAGGTGGGTTACAGAAACTGGGGCATCCAGTTTCTCTTCTGCCTCTCCCAAGCAAACGTCCACTAAGACCTGAGAATCTCAGGATTTTCAGACACAGCCAGGCTGCGAGGCCATCAGCACACTGCCAGCCTGGGCGGTGCATTTACACTGCACTGGGCTGGGCTGTCTCTTGGAGATGGCTCCCCAGGGCCCCCTGAAGTGGGGAGGCCCAGTGGCAAAGGGTGGAGGAGAAGGATCAGCCACGATCCAGCCAGGCAGCCCTGACCATAGATAAGAAGGTGCTAAGAAAAATGAAGAGCGGCAGTGTCTAGCAGGAGCCCTTCCCTCTGCCCCATCAGGGCTCTGCTATCAGTGGCCCAGCAATGGCCCGGCTCTGTTTTCCTCAGAACAGATCTCTTGGCCTAGGGCAGGCTGATTTCATTTGATCCTGTCTGAAGTCCTCTGGCCCTGAGCCAGGCCTCCCTTTGAACTGCTGGGCAAGCACCCTCTTTCTCTTACTCCCAGACCCCCATCCCAGCGGAAGCCCCTGCATCTCAGAACACCCCTGCCCCCAAGGCCCACGCTCTGTAGCAATGGCTGTGGGCCAGCTGTCCTGCCCAGTGCTTGTTCTGGTCAATGGGGATGAAAAGACGAACAATGGGGACATAACGAGCTTGTATTTTTAAGTCTGTGTGGCCTCCTAAGAGACAAAACCAAGAGCTACTATCTGTGAAAAAGAGGCTGTCAAGGGAGAAGCCAAGGCAGCTCAGAGCCCTAGGGCATCACAAAACCCTAGGTGAGCAGCTGGTGGCGACACTGAGTCTGCAGGAAAAAAACAAGGTGTAAAAAAAAAAAACCCAAAAATACCCCTGGAGCTTTTCAGAACAATCCTTGAAGTCACTGAGACGACTTCCTCATTCTGCTGATGGGCAAGCAGCCAAGAGAAGGACAGGGTTTTATCCAAGGTCACACAGTACATCAGCCAGGATCAGACCCCTAGCCTGCCTCCTCCCACAGAACCCCTCCATGACACTTGCGTAGGCTGAACCATGCCCCCAGCCAAAGAGGGCCACGCCCTAATCCCTGGAACCTGCGGATGTGACCTTACATAGCAAAGGGGCTTTGCAGATGTGATTCAGCTAAGGATTTTAGGATGGGGAGATTATCCTGGATTACCTAAGGGGTCCAAATGTCATCGCAAGGGGTCTTGAGAGGGAACAGGAGAGTCAGAGCCAGAAACAGCAACGTGAGGAAGGAAGCGAGAGGGAGAATGGAAGACACTGCGCTGCTGGCTCTGAAGACAGGGCCACAGCCAGGAACCAAGGAGTGCAGGTGGTCTCCAGGAGGCAGAAAAACAAGGAAATGGATTCTCCCCTGGAGCCTCCAGAAGAAACACAACCTTGCTGACCTATTTTAGATTTCTGACCTCCAGAATTGTAGGGGAATCTATGAGTGTTGTTTCAACCACTATACTTGTAGTTATTTGTTACAGCAGCAATAGGAAGCTTAGACAATACCTAAAGTGTGCCCTGATGAGTAGTAGGAAGCTTGGGGCCACAGAGACTATGTGATGTCCTTGATGTGTCCTTTGATGATGGGGGAGGGGAGAGGATCTGTGTCCTTGGCTCCAAGCACCCTAGGGCATGGGGACAGGGGCTCTGAGCTGTCAACAGGCATTAAACAGATGCCAACACTCAATCAATAGATATCAGGAACCTCCTACAGGGAGGATGCTCAGATCCCGGGTACCTCAGAAACAAACAATTCACTGCCAAACGTTGACCCACTCCAGCTCCTTGCTCCAAAACTCAAGACAAATTCCCAGAGACCACCAAGGTTCTCAGTCATCCCAGCCAGAGGTGGCCAAGGGGTGGTCTGGAAATGGGACAAGAAGCTCTTGGCTCCTCAGTCATGCAGGGAGGAGAAGGAATGTGGGTTTAAAGCCTCACTCTGCCCCTGGCTGGCTATGTTATCTTCAGCAAGACAGTTGGCCTCTGGAAGTCTGTTTCCCCATTTAAAAAAAACAAAAAAAAACACAAAAACCAAAAAACCAAATGTAGTAACAGTTCCCACCTCACAGAGTTCTTGTGAGGATTGAATGAGAAAATACCTTAGTCTAGCACTAGAATGGGCATGGACTAGGGACCAAAAAATGGCCACTTTCCTCCCTGCTCTGGCTATGGCAAATATAGTCCTTTGAGGGCTCTCGACTCTGCTTTCCACACCAGGCCCCTCTGACCTCCAATCTCCAAGGACTGATCCTTACAAGGCCTGCACCCCCCAGACCATACTAATGACAGTAAATCCAAAAAAATCTCAAGCACAACAAATCATGTTACAGAGAGAAAGGGGCCCAGGGGACATGGGCTAGTCTCTGCCACAGCCATCAGCACCCACTTGGAGTTTTCAGAGATTTCACACTTTTTTTTAAATCCAAAAAAATCTCAAGCACAACAAATCATGTTACAGAGAGAAAGGGGCCCAGGGGACACGGGCTAGTCTCTGCCACAGCCATCAGCACCCACTTGGAGTTTTCAGAGATTTCACACTTTTTTTAAAGTGATTGTCCCCTTCGGATCCTGCCTCCTGCACCAGACAGATGCCAACACTAAATCGGGCCCCCAAGAGCAGGGCTGCCAAAGCAAGGCTAGAGCCCACCCCAGCCCACCCTCCCACTGACCATCTTCCGCTTGCTGCAGAGGAAGGCATGGCACTCAAGGTTCTCACTGTGCTGGCTCTGGGCGATGTATGCAAACACCTTGTCGTGCATCTTGTCTGCTGTACAGTATGAGATCCTGAAAGGCAAGTGGGAAGTATCACCAGACCTGGCACAGGGGCCTGACCACATCTGGGATGCGCCATAGGGCATCTCCTCCAAGCAAGTCTGCTATTTCCACTCCACCAGGGCGAGACTCTGGAGATCTAGCCTTGGCCATGAGGCCTGGCATCCTATGCCACCTATGGGGGAGGGACCCAGGGCTGGAAGTCCTGGGGGTAAAGACCAGTGGAAGGGCACTTTCCCTCTCTTTCCTTCCCACCCCACACTGAGCTGCATCCCAAGTAGTAATGGCTGAGCCCTTACTGCATACCAGGCAATGTGCCAAGAGCTTGTAGATATCACTTCATTTAATTCTCAGAGCTACTCTGTGAGATGGGTTCTATTACTCTCCCCACTTTTCAGATGAGAAAACTGAGGCTAAAGGTCTGAGACCACAGAGCTAGTGGCAGAGCTGGGACCTAAACTCACCTGTGGGGTCCCAGAGGTTGTAATCACTGTCATGCTGCCTCTTAAGGACTTGTGCTGACTGGATGAAAGCAGAAGCAGGACACTGCCGTGTTCCCTGACACCCTTCACCTGGCCTCCCCTTGCCTGTCCTACCCTCCGATCCATCACATGAGATCCAGTCCTGTCTCTCCCAGGGTCTCTGGGACCATTAGCAAGTTCTGGAGCTGTGGCCAGGGGTGGAAGAGCTGGAAATGGGATGGGGATGTGTAAAGATGACCCAACAAAGAGCCCCAGTGGGTTTGGGAAGAGAGACACAGCAGCTCTCTCTGCATGGAACACCCCCTCCGCCCCAATCTCTATCCACAACTGTGGTTCCCCTGAGCCCTCCGTCTTCCCATCCTCTCTCACTTGTCTGATCCCTCCGTGCTGCCTCCAAACATCCTCGGAATCTCAATCAGGACAGTAGCTGGCAGCCCACAAGTGAGATAGGAGCTCAGCGGACTCACTCCCTCACCCGTGTGGACCCAGCTTCAATCACAGGGATTGACACCACTTAAAAATCCCAGGGGAGCAGAGGGAGGGGGTGCCAGGTCCCTGGCTGCCTCTCCTCCATCCCAGGGGTCCAGCCTCCTGCCCTAAATGCCACTGGGTCCTTGGTATCAATCAACTAGATCCTGCTATTCGTCAAGCCCCAGGAAGGTGCTACCTCCCCAGGGAGGCCTTTCCATATTTTCCCAGGCAGACCCCTCTTTCTCTGCCCTCTAGGGAAACACTATCCTCTATTTCCTATTTCCTCTCCTCCATTCCCTACTAGACTAAAAGCTCCTTGAGGGCAGGGGCTGGGTCAGATTCCTCTTCTAGCACAGACCTTGGTAGAGCAGGTACTTGGAAAATGCTGGTTAAAAGAAGGCGGGTAAAATCAGGAAGATGAAAGGAAGACAGCAGCCAGAAACTGTGAACCATCCCCCCACTACCACCACATCTACCCACCCCAACTACTGGCTTGTGCTCCAGCTGGCAAAGCCACCTGCTTGGAGACAAAGCAAGAGGATGGCGGGATGCCTGGCAGATGGGAGCCTGCTGGACAGAACTTCGGCCTGGGTGTCCTGGTACCAGTTCAGCCACTACCTCATGCTGCAGCCTCCTTAGGTAATTCCCTTTCTGGGCCTCAGCTTCCCCATCTGTAAAATGGATCTGGGCTGTCCCCTTCTAGTCTTGAAATCCTACCACTGACCAGCCAAGAGGGAGGTGGGAGTAGCCTGCGGCTCCAAAGTCTCCCTGGCACCAGCAGGCCCACTAACGCTCTGGCCTCAGACCTTGCCTGAGGCCTCCCTGGGATGCCTGGCCAGATGCCCAGAGCTGAGCTGTGGTGTTCACAGCAGAAGGAAAAGGCAGCATGCTGGGGGAGTGTGAGTGGGAAGGGGGTTCTAGGCCTTATCAGGCCTCAGCTGCCCGCTACAACTGGTGATAATGACAGCAGCAACTGCCACTTAACTGAGCATTCACTGTGAGCCAGGTGCTGTGCACTTAGCGTTTCCTAACAGCATTGCAGGTCAGGATCCACTCCCATCCCCAGTTTACAGATGAGGAAACTGAGGCTCCAAGGTCATCTAGGTTGGAAGTGGTAGAGCCTGGATTCAGACAGGACACTCCACCTACCATCCCAAGTGGCAGAGTTAGCCAGTCCCCATGCTGAGCATACCTGTAAATGGACACATTCTCAATGAGCTGATTGGTGAGGTTGTCGGTCAGGATAATTCCCCGTGGCGACACCTTGAGAGTCACCTTCTGCAGCTTCTTCCCGCTGGCCTTAGCCTTGGGGACAGACATGGGTCAGAGGAGCCTGCCTGCATCACTTGAGGCCTACCCTTGAGGGCTACACCTGATGGCTCCAAGGACCCAGTGCAGGGCCTCAGCTCAAGCGACTAGCAGGCGCTGGGGGAAAGACAACTCAGCCAGCACCCTCTTGTAATGAAAGTAGGAACAACTGCTGCTCACTGAGCACTTGCTGCTTGCCACACACTGGACCTCAAGTTATCCACAAAGTCAGGAGGACAGACTCTCATTCTTCTCCCCAGGAGGAAATGGACTCAGAGAGGGTAAGGGACTTGCCTATGAACACACAGCTAGGAGGGACCAGAGACTCTGAGCATTGAGTTGGATATCACAACCAACAGGATGACTCCCAAGGACTTTGTTCCACCTACTGCACCTGCCAGGCCCTGAGATGAAGGATAAAAGGCCACCAAGGGAGGGGAATTTAAAGGGCTCTGCTTACTTGGAGCTGGGGGTAGGGCAATCTGGATTCTGATGGGCTACCCTGTCTGTCAGGCCACTGGGCAAGTGGAGAAGTGACAGCAACATTTCTACCCTCCTTGCCACAAAGTGACCAATGCCTAGGCAGGGAGCTGAGTTGGTGGGGAGGCTGGATGAGGCTGTGGCCACAATGACTGGGGAGGAGGACACTGACCTTGACCCCACAAGTCCAACGGCTCCCCTCTACCAAAGTCCTTAAGCTGAATGCAAGGAGACTCGGGGTAACAGGCTGGGGACAAGGGGCATCTCAGGAGAAGCTGGCCCTTGGCTCATGGCTACTCCATCCCCTCGTGACTGGAGCACTCACCGTAGCCACAATCCTCTTGACGGCGGCGGCTGACAGCTCCTCGCCCTTGGGCTGTTCCACCAGCGTCATACCCAGGTACTTGAGGTTGAAGAGCATCCCCTCGAGCAGCGTCTCCCGAGTGTCTGTCCAGTTCTCAGGCAGTTCTAGGCAGGGCAGGACAGGCCCTCAGACCCTGCTGGGCAGGGCCACCACCAGCAACACCTCTCACCAACCCCCAACTCCTAGGAAAACCCAGCAAGGGGCATCGGGGTCCTCCCCCCACCATTATTTTTACTTTGAATAAAGGGCTACTATTTTCCAGTACATACCAAGTACCGTGATATTAAGCTTTACATGCAGTTTTCATTAATCCTCATGGGAACCTAAGAGGTGGACACTTTCATCATACCCACCTACAAACAGACACTGAGGCCCAGTGAGGCTAAATCACATAACAAAGTCCACAGAGCCAGTAAGTACAAGAGCCAGGATTTGAGCTATGTTTTCAAGTCCAGAGCCCAAACTCTAACCTCAACACTAGCACTTGCTGAGGGTAAACCATACCATTTTCCACCAAATCTTTAGTGCAATCCTGTGAGGCAGGAATTATCCCCATTTTATGGAGTAGGAAACTGAGGCTCCGAGAGGTGAGCCAGGAGACAAAAGCCACATACAGTGAGTACAGGGTTGGAGTCAGATGAAAACCTGGGTGGTTCCCAGAGCCCCAGCCTGCACTTCTTTCCTCCATGTGCACATCCAAGGTGACCAACAGGTTCGGGGGAGTGGGCCAGGAAAGAGACAGTAACCCAGGGAGAGTGGGCCTGGAGTAAGGGGCAGTGTGGAAAGAGGGAGGTGATGTCTGAGATGATGTCATGTCAATCTGGCAGACCTGGGTTCGAATCCTGGCTCTGCTTCCCACCCTGTGTGGTCTCAGGGAAGTCGTTTCTCCTTTTTGAGACTAACAGTGCTTGACTCTCTGGGCTGCAGCATGGCACAGAGCAGGGTACACGGGAAGGGTCCTCTGCAAACTCTGACCATGACTGATGTCAGGAAGGTTGCAAAATGAGGGGAGGAGCCTGGCTTACTGTGTGGGGAAACAGACCAGGAGGGAGAGTTGGAAAGAGGCTCCCACCCCACCCTACCCATGTAGGAGAGGGCAGAGCTACATGAGGGGAAGTGCAGGCCTCACTGAGGGTGCACCCATCCCCTGGGTTCCTCTGTGGGAGTTGAGGCCCGGGGGCACCACACCACTCAGCTGGGAAGCACCGAGGCTGGAACAGGAAGGAAGGCCTCCAGGGACCCTTCCAAGCCCCCATCACTAGGATGAGTGAACACCCCACACTCCGCTTGTTAGGACCCTCTGCCTGTCCCTTATAATCCCCGCACACATGCTGTACTTGCAGGACATAGTCATTATGATTGCACCCATTTTACAGATGAAAAACTGCTCTTCAGTCTCTCTTATGATCTTGTTAAGGGTAGAGCAGGATCCAGACAGGAACCTGCTGGATCAGCCACCAGAGTGGTGGACAGCGCCAGCTACCCTAGACCATCCCCTGTGAGGGGACTGGGAAAAGTCCTGTGCCCTCCCTGTCTCCTCCTGGGGCCTTCTGTACTGGCTCTGATGGAAAAGCCACAGGAAGAAAATTTAGCACTGGTTCCAGGGCAGCTGAAGCCGTGGCAGGGCTGCAGGCTACCCCTACAAGGCTCAACCTGGCTCTGGGGTTCCTACACCATCAGGAATGGAAACTTGGGCTCAGATGGCAACACCAGGTCCATTACACAGTCTGGAGCCCTGCTGCCCTTCCTATCTCCTCGCTTAGAGTCCTAGGCCTCCAGGGGCTCTGTCTCCTTCCTCCACAACCAAAGGAGCATTGTATACCCATATTTCTCTGGATTTGCTGCTCAGATGGCAACACCAGGTCCATTACACAGTCTGGAGCCCTGCTGCCCTTCCTATCTCCTGGCTTAGAGTCCTAGGCCTCCAGGGGCTCTGTCTCCTTCCTCCACAACCAAAGGAGCATTGTATACCCATATTTCTCTGGATTTGCTTTAAGCAAGCCACTGTCCCTCTCTGAGACTGTTTCCTCACCTGAAAGAAGAGTGTGTGAGTGTGTGTGTGTGTGTGTGTGTGTGTGTGTGTGTGTGAGAGAGAGAGAGAGAGAGAGTGAGAGAGAGAGAGAGTGTGTGTGTGTGTTGAGGGTGAGGGAGGGTCAAACGGCAACTTACAGATATACCCAGTTCTCCCCACCCCTTGAGATCCAGGTAAGCAGGGACTTACTGACTAGTTGTCCGGAACCTGGCATGCAACTGGCACTCAATATATGCTGAGTGGAGGAATGACCTGGGCAAGCCCATCTCTAGCTCTGGCCTCTGACCCACTGACTTCCAGCTCTTATCCTTGGACCTCCACCCCAACATGGGGCCAGTCCCCCACTGAGATGATTCCAAAGCCCGAAGTGACTCCATCCTCCGTCCCATTAACCACGAGCCTATTCCATTTAATCCTCTAAAAAGAATCAAAGTCCCTGAGGTGTCCCAGTCCTATGTTGAGTGATGGGGCCCTGGAGCAACTTAGACATAGGCCCTGCTCTCAAAGAAACCAAGAATAACAACACCATCATCAGGGTAAATCAGAGCCAATCAATCATGTAACAAAGATACCACGATAATAAAGCAGTAGCTATCTCCATGACTTCTAACACTCACAGTGACCTTGCAAGTAGGCATTCTTTCATTCCCATTTTACAGATGAGAAAACTGAGGCTCAAAGGACTGCCTCAAAAGCCCAAGCTCCTGACCATTAGACCACACTACCTTCTGCCTTAACATGAGGTAAACTACCTTAATTCTAGCAAGAGATTCCTGGAACTAGAAGTATTTCCTCCCACCTGGAATTAGGTATTCCTAATACCAAAGGCTTCCCCTCAGCAGGCCAAAATACTCAGACCACCACTTTTAACCTGAGACTCACCAAAGCAAGGATGGCAAAATGCTGCCACGCCTATCACCTGTGTCCTTGGCAGACATTACTAATTGATTGCCACTCTATTTCCCCAATTGTTTTTTAACACAGGCCCCAGGCAGACAATACCAATCTATTAAGGGTGGACATGTTCATCTCATTATCCATTCCTGCTCTAGGGCAAACATTCTTCCTTTCCCCACTTCTCATGTCCCCATTCTCCCATTTCCTCCAGCTCAGCCCCTTCCTGGACTCTATCCAAAGCCACTTCCGCTCCCTGCATTCCAAAGGGCCAAAGCTTTCCAAGGTCACTGGTGATCTCTTTGTTGTCAAAACTTTCCCGAGTCCTCCTTGACCTCTGAAATGTTTGGCATTTTTCTGCATTCCTCCTTTCCTGGCCTGACCATTCTCCTAATCTACCACTTCCTTGTAGACTGACTGCCACTCATCAGCCTCAGAGACCCTCTGCTCAGATCCCTCACTTGATAGATGATGCAACTGAAGCACAGAGAGGGATGGGACCTGTGCAAGGTCACACAGCAAGTCAGACAAACACCCCCACCCCTCAGTCCACCAGTCCACTATAGGCAATTCCCACAGTGACTGTTGGGAGAATTTTACCCAGTCTCCTCTCCTACAATATCCCTACATACACACACACACACCCCACCCCACCCCCTCAAGAAGCTCTGACCAAGCTTCTTCCTCATAATGTAACATTTACTTTCCAACTTCTGTGCCTTTGCTCTAGTAGTTCCCTCTATTCGAAACAACTTTCTTCCCTTTGCTTGATCAAAACCCCACACAGCCAGCCTCTTCCAGGAAGCTTTCTCTGAGGCAGTATAGCCTAGTGGTTAAGAGCAAGGGCTTTAATCCTAGAATCCCAGTTCTGATGCTTCATGTCTGAGTGACCTTGAGTGAGCTATAATTATGTGCCTTGAGCCTCAGTTTTCTCATCTATAAAATGGGGAAACAGTCCCTGGCTCATGGGGTTGTTTTGACCCTCGGATTTGATGATAAAATAAAACGCACTTAGCAGAGGGCCAGGCCCATGGTGGGTGCTCCATATGCCTTCTGATGGGCATCATCCCTCCTGTCCATGGGTGGCTTGTGCCCTTCTCGAGTGTGCATCTCCTTCTTTTCCTCACTCAGCTGCATCACCCACCGCTAAGCAGCTGCCTACACCTACACACCCTGGGTATTTCCCTTGAAGGACTTGCCGTTCACACTTGCCTCCCTAGGACCTGGAATGGAGAAGGTGCACTCCTGCCCAATGCTGCTGTCCAGTCTCATCCTACTTCTCCCTTGTCCCCCCATCTCTGTCACCTGGTCCTCCCAGGCCCAGCCTAGACACTCTTTTCCTCTGGGAGCCCTGTCTCCTTTCTTGAACTTCTATGCATGTGACTCACCTCTTCCCTGAGGTGTATGGTTTCTGGTATCCACACCCTCCCCACAGAAACCAGCACCTGGGAGCACTCAATAAAGACAGACATGCCTGCCCTGCTCACCAGCCAGCCACCTCAAATAGGATGCAGCAGGGCTGCATGCCAGCCCAGCTGATGGCTGGAGGCCACAAGCTGCTTCAGGAGGAGCTCCCAGACGCCCCCAGGGAAATACAGGCCTGAGTCCACAGCCCTGTTCCGGTTTCAGTTATTTTTGGCCCTGTGGTGGGTAATGACTGTGCTATTTTAATGTTGCAATTTTACAGATGACCTGCTGCCAGAGTTAGCTGGGGACAGACCATATGTCCAGTCTAACATACAGCTGTGAACATGTGCTCTTTCCTTGCTAAGGCCTCTACCCCGGAGTCAAGAGCTGGGCAGGGTGCCCCTGTGCCCCTTCTGCTGCCCCGGGGAGACCTAGCCTGGCTGGTATCTGCAGCACCAGAGCTGCAGCCAAACCCATGGGCCCAGGGGAGCCTCTGACCAGGGCCCTGGCCTCCAGCCTGGTGGGGAGATGGCCTCAGATGCCACTGAGTGAACATCTTGGAGGGGCTCAAGCTCTGCCCTGACCTCGAGTGCGGCTGCTTCTCTGGGCTGCAGTCTCTTTATCTAACAAAGGGGTTCAGCCCCTCAAAAACATCATCAGAAAAACACCAGGCAAATTTTAGTAGTTAAAGCTGTTGAGACTGTTATCAAAGGAAAATACCTTTTT